CCCGAACTCTTCTTCGCGTCCGCTTTCTTCATGTCTTAACGTATCGTTTGGTTAATAAATGTTTTGTCAATTGATTTCTCGCTTCAAATATCAATGGTGTCGGACGTGAAGATCAATACACAAAACCGATCGATCACTCGATGGATCAATTGGTGAGATAACAATACAGTAACCAATAGATCGGTAGGAAAACAATTGATTCAAACAACTCTTTGGTTAATGTTTTGGTCAATGAGTTTCAATCCAATGGCGAAGACTGTGTGGCGCTGAAGACCAGCGACAACCACAACAACAACAACACCGGACACCAAATGTCTGGCCAATCGTTTCACTCGATTGTCATAATAATCATTGGAATCGACAGCAAGAGGTGATCCGATGGTTGAGTCGATGATAAGCGCGAATCCCTTTAGGAGACCACAAGACTCGGAGCTTAACCACCTTGGTTTACCTCACTACCTACGCTAGTTATGACTGCAGGTTGCTCAGAGTGTACGCCACTACAGAAGCCGGGTTGCCGTGTCTGTCTGCCTGTGTTCGCTATATACGCTAGTCTACATTGACGGTTTGTCAGCCATGTTATGGCTGGTGGGCGACCATCACATGCAATACAGCGCACACTATCACCGTATGGGATGTGTTGGACAGTTGTGTTGTGAATGCAATGTTTGTGTTGTGTATGTGTTGTCAGTCTCTCTCGACTTCAATACACACCACACATAACGCACAGACAGTACGACACGAACAGCACTAATGTATGGCCGAGTATAGAGTGTAGGGATTGTACCGTATATTCAACGCAGCGTTCAGTGTATACAACAGTGAGAGCTGTAGTGGCAGTCAATCGCGAGGTAAACACAAAACAGTACTTTTCGCCAGCCTTTTAACACACAGACCAGTGCTTCACTCAATACATACTACTCTCGCTCTCTATCTCTCTCTACTCATAACAGTTCCTCACACTTAACCCATTGCCGGCCCCAATACCACACATACCCGACCCCACACCCCATCCATTAGCCCTATACCCGATCCGTTATTTTGTATTTTATTGTGACTTTTATTTGGTGTTTGTTTTTCTGTCTCTTAATTGTGGGTTTAATTGAAATTAATTTTTCGTTGATTTATTTACTAACCGAAAACGAAAGTAACTTTTTACTCGCATTCATACATAACGTGTGTTAAACAACATTGGTAATAATATTTCATATTGGTTATTTTTTGTAATGTTTTTTTTATTAACTAAATATTAATTTTTAATTACAATTTTACAGTGTTTTACTAATCGCTATAAATATTTATATCTAAATAATATTTTAATCTAAAAACTAATGTAAATAATGAGGAAATATATAACATATTTGTAGAAAACATAAAGTATGTCAAAACGTAACAACAAATTCTGTGCGAAAAGTACAGTGAATTCATTATCTATTGATTGCAAATCCTAATGAAATACACACAACGAGTGATACAATTGTTTAACACAATTAAATTAATTATAATTTTGATGCAAATATTATTTAATTTTAAGACGAGTTAAGCGTTAAATATAGTATAGCATAGAATATAAACCAAATTCTGTGTCAATACATACAGAATGTTGACGAGATTTGTGTCCACATCTGGTGGCTATGCTATCACAGAGTGTATCGATTTATTTACCAGAATATTCTGTTAGCGATTCTGTGCTTAAGCAATGCGTTTGCGGCAAAATATCATGCATTTAAGTATTAATTACGTTTAAAATTAAAAATTAGTTAAATATTAATACACAACTGGCGTTAGAATTAAAAAATATTTTATTTCTCATTAATTGTTCAAAGAATTTGAATTTAATTAACAAGTATTTCAAACTATATCATTCAACTTTAAATATACCAATGAAAATGCATTCCCGGTGTTAATCATAATAAATATTAGTAATTTATTTAATATTTTGATTAATTAATGGTCTTATCATTAATATAAGAGCGTAACAAAGCATAGAAAATTAGTTATAACTTTTGTTATGTTTTATGTATATAATCTTATATAAAGTTTTTCTATGAAAAAAGTTTTGTTATAATAATTTTCTTATCAAAAAGTATCAATAATTGTATCGCAAAAATAGTTATTTTCGTTGTGTGTTTTAAAGTTGCAAAAAACAGGTGAAGGTTTTTACTGACTATCTATTGCTTTACTTGTAATAATCAGTAATTAATTTCAATGGTTTCTCGTGTTAATCAAACGCCGACACGAGTCTGAAACACAACACTCTCTTCACGTATTTTTATTTATATTTTTAATTAAATATATGTTAGCATATTAATTTTGCGCTCTATATTAACAGTTTATATACTCCACACTCTACACAACAACATCAACAATAAGGACAACATAATTATTTACTAAACTAAAGATGACAACAAACATAATAATCCGCATAAGCGAACCATAAGTTTATTATTCACTTCAGCCATGGATTCCAGTTCTCGCACACTATCCGAGTCTATGGAAGACTTAGTATTGTTACTGTTGGGCACCGGGCGAGTAGAGCCCCCGCCTGTAAATATCCGCACGATCTCCAGCCAAATCAGTTTGCATATCGATTCCTATATATTAAATAATAATATCACATCAATTACTGGTGTATTTGAATATTCATAAAAATTCATATTAATTATTAGCCAATAAATTATATAAGCGTTAATATTTGCTCAAACCTAGCAATCACTGTAAGGCAGCAATCGTTACGCGTTAAGCATTCAAATGGCTTTTGCCATTCATATGTGATTAATAATTAGCAGTTATTTTCAAATCAAACAGAGGTTTCAAGTCTGACATGAATTTCTTCAAACTTAATAAAGCCGTTCATGTGATTCATATGATTAGTCCGTCGCTTGTCTTTTCGCCGATTCTCCTAACGATTTGGCAAAAATTATCAAATCAAACAGAGGTTTCAAGTCTGACATGAATTTCTTCAAACTTAATAAAGCCGTTCATGTGATTCATATGATTAGTCCGTCGCTTGTCTTTTCGCCGATTCTCCTAACGATTTGGCAAAAATTAATGAAAATATTTTTATGTTAATTAAAGTTATATTAATTTCTTCTAAAAATGAATTTCAGTATTTTCATACTTCATGTTAATTATTATACAAATATAATTATAATTCGTTCTCAACAGTAATAAAACACATTTCTGTACATTATTATAAAAACTAATTGCAAAACAAGTAAATTATATAGTTTTCAAATCATAGATTGAATAATAAATAAGCTTTAAATAAATGACAATATATTTGTTGCAAACAATGAAGAATATGAATGGTGTGTACCCTCTCATGTCGGGCCAGTTTCATGCTTTTCCATATAAACTCGAGGGCCGCAAACACACAGCCGAGACCCACACCGGCGACCAAAACTACAAAAACGCCGCCGACATTCTCGATGTTGAGTTCGCTGGCACTGGAGACCTGTGGCCTATCAACACCGCACAATCCGCCACCCATTTTGACCCACCATTTCTGCCTAATGTTGTATAGAATACCCCTGTCTTGCAGTACGACAATCAAATCAAACAGAGGTTTCAAGTCTGACATGAATTTCTTCAAACTTAATAAAGCCGTTCATGTGATTCATATGATTAGTCCGTCGCTTGTCTTTTCGCCGATTCTCCTAACGATTTGGCAAAAATTAGTGAAAATATTTTTATGTTAATTAAAGTTATATTAATTTCTTCTAAAAATAAATTTCAATATTTTCATACTTCATGTTAATTATTATACAAATATATAATTATAATTCGTTCTCAACAGTAATAAAATACATTTCTGTACATTATTATAAAAACTAAGTTAATTGCAAAATAAGTAAATTATATAGTTTTCAAATCATAGATTGAATAATAAATAAGCTTTAAATAAATGACAATATATTTGTTGCAAACAATGAAGAATATGAATGGCGTGTACCCTCTCATGTCGGGCCAGTTTCATGCTTTTCCATATGAACTCGAGGGCCGCAAACACACAGCCGAGACCAACGCCGGCGACCAAAACTACAAAAACGCCGCCGACATTCTCGATGTTGAGTTCGCTGGCACTGGAGACCTGTGGCCTATCAACACCGCACAATCCGCCACCCATTTTGACCCACCATTTCTGCCTAATGTTGTATAGAATACCCCTGTCTTGCAGTACGACAATGGCGTTGGAGAGCGGAGTTCTGTAGGGAGAGTCGGGCGGTGTGGCGATGCCGTAGCCCTTGTTGTCGAGCCACGAGCCGATCTGTATTAGATCGCAATCCCTTTCGATCTCGTACTCCAGTGTCGACGACTCTGTTGAGTGTTTTATAAGTAATAAATAATGGTTTTAAGTATATTTATGTCTTCACACATCACCCATCGTAGGTATAATTTTTTGTGTGTATGAAAATGGATTACCCATTAAGTAAGCGTAACCTCCTTTCCTGACTCTGTCCTTCGCCTGATCCACATTTCGTATATAGACGTCGGGATTGCTTTCCATTGTATTAAACATTCGCTGATAAGTCGAGTGATTAGAATTCTGTGCAAATATATGCCAAACAAAAAGAAGAGAGTGTGAAAAAAGTATATTTAATTAATTGCTTTGAATTATTTGCTTATAAAAAAGCATTACAACAACCGCTCGATTGCTTCACGAATTAAAAAGAGTGTCCACTAAGAAGGAAATACAGTGAATATCCCCTAGCTGATCCAGTGGTGATTGATATGGTCATGTCCAGTATCGTATGGAGATTCATAAACCATCTTCAAAACGTGCGAATGGCCATAAGCACCGAAGTTA